AGAGAGAGAGGGAGAGGATGAGGGCGGTCAGGTAGGGGGCCCAAGGCGGAGCCAACCCGTGCGCGCGACTCAGATGGCAACTCACCCTATCCGACATGCTGCGTATGCTCGATGTGTTGGTGGCCGATGCGTTTCGATGTGGCTTTCTTGGGTTTTGCGATGGCTTGACTGGCGAAAGAAGCGTCGAGGGGCGGATGAAGTGAGCGTGCGGGAGCAAGAGGGAAGCGGGGACGGTGCGCAGCCCTTGCTCCCTTGCCGCCTTGGCCGCTGGCCTCCAAAAGTGGAGAGACATGCCTGTGGCCAGGGCAGCCTTCGCATCCGCCCTCTCTCGCCAGCGCGTCACGTGAGCCCCACCCGCCTCGCCGCTCTCTCTGACGTTGCCGACTCGACCACCTTGGTCGCAGATGCCGGCCTAGTCTTCTCAACTGACCCGTCGACATTGCAGACCGCTGCTCTGCTGAGCCTGCATCCAGGCCATCATCGGCGACACACACACACACACAGAGAGAGGGGTAAAGGATGGTGGTAACATTCGTCTGTATCACGCGCAATGCAGGGTCCTTGAGAAGAGAGAGAGAGAGAGAGAGATGACATCTCGACAGTCGGGTGGGACGAGGCACAGCGGGGGGAACGAGGGTTCTGGCGGACGTAGAGAACATGGGTGAAATGGTAAACCAAGCGCGTGCAGCCAAACGAAAGGCGCGCGATGCCGATTCTGCTCCTTCTCTCGTCCGTGGTCGTAGTGTTCGGGACGCCGCTTCGGTACTTGCATTGAGTCGAGTCGGTACGGGTGTCGCTCAGGCTTGGCCGGCCTGCAGAGCGTCGTTGCGCAGGAGAAAGTCCGAGACAGACAGAGGGGGCGGCGCGTTAGCTCTGTGAACCGACTCGACCTTCTCCACCCTCTCTCGGCGACGAGCTCGTCACTGCTCACCTGAGGCGGAACCGGACCCTCGTCCTGGCCCGAGTTGTCTATGTTGTGGAAGTCAAGGATCTCCGAGTACATCATCACCTTCCACGTGTCGACGGGCAGGTCGGCATCGTTGAAGCTCCAGTCAAACGCCTCTTCGGCCTCGGGCTCGTCGGTGGGGTCGTGGTACGGCGCCAGGTAGGGGTGCGCAAGCGCCTCGGCGGCGCTGATGCGTGTCCTCGGGTCAAAGACGAGCATCTTCTCCAACAGGTCGAGCGCCATCGGATCGGCGTTGCGGAACTTTTGCGAAAACGGAATTCTCTCGCGCTTGGGCAGCGACTGGACGAAGCGCAGCGTGTTCTCGGAGCAGATCGTCTTGATGACCTCGTCCGGAGGCGTACCGAGCAGCTCAGTGATGATCGAGAACTGGTTGACGTCTGCGAAGCGAGAGACGAAGGCAGAACGAGGCGCACGGGAAACGAAGCCGATATGCTCAGTCAGACGACTGCACCTCCAAGGGACCTGGACGGGCGACGCCGACCCGACCAAAGCTGCCCGTTCTCACGCTCGACTTGTGGTACTCACGATCCTTTCCTGGGAACAACGGCTTGCCCTCGAGCATCTCGGCAAAGATGCATCCCGCACTCCAGACGTCCACTGCAGCGTTTCGAGGCGGCGCGAAGTCAGCGTCAGCGACTATCGCGCTTGGAAACCTCATTCGCAGGCCCAGACCACCGCGGGACGCGCTAGACGCGCCACCCACTCACCTGCGACGTCGTACTTCTGCCACGTCAGCATAATCTCGGGCGCTCGGTAGTAGCGGGTGCTGACGTAGCCCGTCATCTGCGGGTCCTGGATGCGCGCCAGTCCGAAGTCGCAGATCTTCAGATCGCAGTTCTCATTGACCAGGATGTTGCTCGGTTTCTGTGCAGGGTCCGGGGAAGGTGAGTCGCCGTCAGCTCAGTGATCGTCGACTTCGTAGCTTCTGCCGAGCGCGGACAGCGGCCGCGGCTACTCACCAGATCGCGGTGAACGACGCCGGCCGAGTGAACATACTTGAGACCGCGGAGGATCTGGTACAGGAAGTACTGGATGAATTGCTTCTCGAGCGGCCTGCTCGTCAGCAGGCGGTGCAGGTCGGTTCCGAGGAGCTCCGTGACGAAGTAGCTGTTGAACCAGGACAGGAAGATGGGTGGGCCTCTCGGTCAGCGGGTCTATATGCGGGTCCACCTTTGAACCCCCAAAAAAGGTGCGGCCCGCAGAGCAGCGAGACTCACATGTCTTCGAGCGGCGAGATGAAGATATCGCTCAGGCTGATGATCTGTGGATAGGGGGAAAGACATCGGACAAGAGGAGTACAACACGAGGTAAAATTGGTGGGTCAGCGAGTCCGTTGCGAAGCGACGGGAGGCCGGCGCTCATACGAGACTCTCGGAGCTTATGCCTGCGGCACCCATCTGTGCCTCGGACGTGCCCGTTTCCTCCGCTGGCCCTTATCACCTCGGAATCTCCCCTCCAGCGATCCAGTTGGCAGCTTCGTCCGGCCTCCTCGTGCTGCATCTGCCATCGACGCGCGACCGCCACTCACGTTCTCATGCCTGATGTGCTTGAGCAGCTTGAGCTCTCGGTAGGTCCTCTTACTGAGCACGGGCGTGCTGAAGGGCTTCATGATCTTCTTGATGGCGACCGAGGTGTTGGTGAGCTGGTCTTTTGCGGAGCAAACGAGGCCGAAAGCGCCCATGCCGACCGGCTGCAGGTCGACATAGCGGGTGGTGACCTCAAAGACGGTCCCGAAAATCGAGAGCTTGACAAAGTCGGCCATCCTGTGTTGGGCCGATGCGTAGGCGAGCGCGGAAAGGTCGGATTAGAGAGCCGGGCGGGTCGAGGAGCAGAGCAGCTGAGTGGGCCCGAGAGTGGTTGGGCTGCGGAGACGTGATCGGACGACGATCAACAAGCGGGGGAATGCAAGCTGGGCGTCGATAGCAAAAGGCAGCGGCGAGGGGATTGGTCACACGCGAGCGTTATGCGATGAAGCGAGCGAGAGTCAAAGGGAACGGTGACCAAAGAGCTGGAGATGGTTGTTGGACCAGGTGGCGTGCAACTGTCGACTCGGTTCAAAGGAAGCACCGGTGGCGAGAGCGGTGAGCGGGCAGGGCGATGAAGACGGCGGGAGGGAGCGAGGACGAGGGAGGAGGAGGAGGACGAGGGGCGAGGAAGCGAAGGGCGCGAAGGTTGTGGAGGAAAAGAAGAGAGAAGGCCACGACCCAGCGACAACTGTTGTGCGCTAGCAGAGGGGATGGTAGTTGGAGGCGAGGACGGATGGGGACCGAAGGGATGAAACGGTGAAGGGGGGCAAAGCGAGAGAGGGAGGGAGAGAGAGGCGCAGAGGCACGGAGCCAGGGTCGTCCGGCCAGGTGAGGTGAGGTCAGGTCAGGGTCGAGAAGGGGACGCACGACGGGGGCGCGGGGGGCGACGGTGCGAGGGGGGTGGCAAGCCAGCCAACCAGCCAGCCAGCCAGCCGGGCCAAGCAAGCAAGCAAGCAAGCCAGCGTACGCGCGTGCTGTGCGCTGTGCGGCCAGGCGCGGGGGGTCTGGCAAGCAGGCAAGGCAAGGGCAAAGGCAGGCAGGCAAGCGGGCAGGCGAGGGTGACTGACCTGGCGCCCAAGCGAGACCAGGGTTTGACCCTCGAAAACGCGCGGGCGTCGCAAAACCAGCCGACGCACTTCCGACCCAAAAGCCTGCCTTGCTTGCTTGCTTGTGGTGGTGGCCTGCCTCGGCCGCACCCACTAGCCTGGCCTGGCCTGCCTGGCTCGCCTTCCATACCATGTGTAGAGCCAGCCCATGTTGATGCGCGTGTCCCCAAGCAAGGTGGCGGCCATATGGAGGGGGGGCTTGGGCGGCGATGGCGCTGCACCAAGTCACAGGCAGCACCAAGCAAGAAAGCGCAGCAAGCGCCAGCCAGCCGCGGCAAGCTACGGAGACTAGGGGCGAGGGCGGGCGTGCCAGGTGGCGCTTGCTTCTTGGCTCGGCCTGCCCGGTGCAAGGGTGCGACGACCGCCCTTCTCTGGGCTGGGAGGGATTCGCGGGCGGGGCGGAGCCACACGCCCCTAGACTCCTCTCTGGCAGGCCTGCAGCCCGTTACTTCCTCTGGCTGAGCTGCGCACTCGCCCCCTCGTCAAGCGTTCCCGGCCTCCGCTTTCGACCTCTCATGCCAACCACGCCTTGCGCCGCACGAGGACTCGCTCCTCACCAAGAGAGAGCTTGCTCGATGCTCAGCTCAACGCACGGGATGGCCGAGGAGACGGTGATCTCGGCCAGCCCGGTCCCGGGGCGCCGACCCAGCAGACAAGAACGAGATGGTGGTGCGTGGGCGTAGACCGAGTCTCGACCGCCTTGACCAGACGCCTTCCGATCCCCGACGCCGTGTGACGACCGCCGCCGCCGCCGCCCTACTCGTCGCCTGGCCCCGCTGGGTGGGTGGCGAATGCGGGACCTGCGACGCGCCGCGGCGGCTGGACCGAGCCCGACCGCCTGCCTGCTGACAGTGGCCCTGCAGGCTGCTCTGCTGCTTGCCCCGAGCACAGCGAGTAGAGTGCGTCCCCCGTTCCGCGTCAGGCAGGCCGCGAGGGCGGTTCATGTGCGTCAGGCCAGGAGGCCCCGCTCGCCACCAAGAATCCGGCGCCGCTTACATACCTGCCATGCCCTCGTAGCGACAGCGACAGCGACGATGTCGACCGGGCCGGAAACGACAACCGTAAGGACTGCAGATGGATACGAAGAGCTGTAGCGGCTCCAAGAAGCAGCGGAGAAGGGCATGCTGTCACCGAGAGGTCGCCGGGTTCGCCTTCCAGGCGCCAGGCCCCCGTCGCGAAGACTGCGGAGTGATCAGCCGCTGCCAACGTCTAGGTGGCGACAGGACGATCCGGCTCAGTCGGGCGGCGGTCCGCAGCATCCGGAGGCGATGCTTTCGCGCCATACCCGTCGCCAGGCGCTGTCCGTCCAGCACAAGGCTAGGTGGGCAGCGGCGAGGCAATGTATGGTGGCAGCAGCGAAGCCCCGCGGATCAGGGTCCAGCAAGCATGGCAGGCGGCAGGCTAGCCGACGACCCTCGTCAGGCAGGGTCCCGGTACCGGGCATGCTGAGCTCGTTGGGTCCTAGCCCCTTGAACAGCCGTTCATCTAGCCAGGCCGTCTTTCGGCGCGCAAAGTGGTGGTCTCGAGCGGGGTCCATATATGGCGGTGTATGTACCATCATGGTCCGACCGACGACCGGCGGTGGTGGTGGCGGCGGCGGCGACGGGCGCGTCAGGTTAGGCGGGTACGGCGAGCGGTGCAACCCGGGCGTCGATCGCTGCACGCAGGCCAGATCGCAGTCGGCAGGCCAACGTCGTCACACCGCAGCCCGTTTCGCGGTGCACCAAGCCGCGCCGGTCCCTTGCATTCTGCTCTCGCCACTCGCACGGAAGAAAATCACATACGGGTCCAGCTCATCCCGCCACCCCCTCCTACCCGACATCCTCTTACTATGGAGTAATCAGCAGCAGGCCCGGTCGCCAGCTCTTACCCCATCGTCGCTCCGCACCATCCCATCGCCGACTTCGCCACCTTAGACAGCCTGGCACCAGAGTCCCGTGGCGTTGTCGGCGGGGTTGGGGCAGTAGGACAGCACGAGGAAGGGGTGGTCCTCCTTGTCCTTGTCGCCGTGCTTGTAGAACATGTTCGTGTCCGAGCTCTGGATGCTGAGGCTGACACCGACGTACTTTTCGTCCTGGAGCGGGGTGATGGGACACTGCCACTCGAGGTCGCCCTTGTCCTTGTCCGAACCGTGGCCCCACTGGGCGCCGATGTGGTGGGGGTCGCGCTTGAAGTGCATCCTGTACAGCGGCAGGTCGCAGTCCTTGCCGGCCGTCTGCGCAGGCGAAGCATCGCTGCATCCCGCCACAACGGCCCGCGTGACGCCCTTGTCGTCTCTCGACACGGTCACGGTGCGTCCGACCTTCTTGTCCGCCGACTGGACGCCGAGCGTGACATTGGCCGCCACGGGGATCGACAGGTCGTAGTGGTCCTTCTAACTCGATGACGGTTCGCGATCCACAATCGAAGGGCGGGAGACACCACTGACAGTCAGATGCCAGTATCCTCCCCTAGATCGCGACAAAGGTCAAGGGCTGCTCACAGTGACGGCGTCGATGCCGATGCAGGGGTTGAGGTTGTCCTTGGCGTCGTAGAAGTACAGCGGGGCGGGTTTGGCACGGCAGTTACGGATGTCGATGCGGACCTTGTAGTACTGCGAGCCGTCGGCAAGGTTGCAATAGTCGATCACCGGTCCCTGGTTTGCATCGCGGGGGAGGATGGAGCCGCTGACGACGATGGCGCTCGAGGCTGCGAGCAGCATCAGCAGCAGGCGACGGAGGGGGAGCGTGACGGAGAGCATGTTGGTTGGTTGGAGGCTTGATTGGTCTCGGTGAGGAGGAGGACAAGTGGCTGAATGACGGGGGGAGGGCGAGGCTCGAGATGTGGTCGTCCATCCTCCTTTATACCTTCCATTCGCTCGGCCAGCGACCTCCGAGCTCGGGTTTCCGACAACAGCCAGTAGTGACTACGCATTGCCGGCCGGTGGGGCACAGAAAGGCCAGTGGGGGCGACCGTGTCATCCACCCACCTTGGAGGGACAGCTTCGACCCATCTACATATCATTGAGCGGTGGGCGGTCTCGCGGCCAAAGCACCGTCGAGGAGCCCCTGGCGACGCACGTTGCCGCGACTTGGCCATGTAATGAGGGTCGTCACGGCCGGAACAGACGTCGTTGGCAGTCATGCCGTCCGTCCGCCTAGAGCGGCCGACCCGCAATATCACTCGTGGTGGGCCGCCGGTCCGTGCAAGGGAGGCTCGTGGCCTCGTCGAGCCAGCATTGTTCGCGAGGATGTGGGGTTGCATTCTATTCGTGCCCAACGTCTCGAGCCTCTCGCCGCTGTCGACCAACGCGCTTTGTCCTACTGCTAGAATCCGAGGGTATCCCTGAGCTCGTCTTCGAGGCCGCTGAGATCCTTGTCGTCCGACTTGCCACCGGGTCCGTTGACGGCGTGCACCTGCTTCTTTTTCAGTTCCTCCTCCTCCTTCCTCGTCGTCTCCTCGGGCTTCTCGCTTTCCCTCCTCTCGTCTTCGTTGAGCTCCATGACCTCCTCGGCACACCGCGCGCAGGCGCACGGGCCGAAACAGTAGTCTCGCCACAGCACCATCCTCCTCCTCCGCACCACAGTGGCAGGGTCGACGTACGAGATGGTGAGCTCCTCGCCCTTTTTAATCTTGCGCGACGTCACCGCGGCAATCTTCATCGAGGCGTACCGTCCGCGCACCGGAACGTGCCGGATCTTGATGTTGGGTCGGCAGTCGTGGTTGAGAAACGAGTGAAGCAGGTAGAGGCCGCCGTGCGACTCCATGTTGACGTTGGACCTGCCGAGGAGGGCGAGGAAGTTCGGGTACGAGAACAGCTCCTTGATCTTGCTGCTCAGCGCCGAAGATGCCGAAATCTCGTCGACCTTGAGCGGAAAGGGCTCTGGCTTGACTCCGGGCGTCTGACGCTGCTTGGTCCTCTCCTCGTCGAACGGGTCCAGGCCCGCCCGCAGCGCCTTGTGGGCCGATTGCAGGGCCGAGTTGAACGAGGCCTCCTCCATCGACCAACCCGGGTTCCTCGCCCTCCGCTCCAGCTCCGAAACTGTAGCGAACGAGCTCAGCTGCGAGTAGACCTCGTCGAACGAGGCCGGCGTCGGGTTGGTGGTCGAGGTGGACGCGATCGACGGCGGTGGTGTCGATGAGTGGGTCAGCAGCAAGCGTGCCAGCGACCTGGCGACCGAGTGCAGCGACTGCCACCCTTGCGACTGGATGAGATCCATCAGAGGCTAAGCAGGGCCGGAGAAACAATGAAGAAAGATGGAGGTGAGGGAGAATCAGCATTGCGAGCCGTGTCACGGGGGCCAGTTCGCGCTATCGGCTTCGTCGACTCACCTTGACCGAAGGGTTGCTGCCGGTGCAGAGCAGCGCGTGGTGGGTCGACATGCCTCGAGACTGGCAGAGGGCGCCACAAAACCTCGCCGTACACTTGCCGCGGCCACACCTCTTGCCGCCGGCCACGGCCGTCTCCATGGGCAGAAAGCAATGGGTGCAAATCTCGCCCCGTACCATGCTTTCGACGGCGCTGGGCGGCGGGGTAGGCACAAACGCCTCCTCCTGGAAGACGACGTCGCCCTCGTCAAAGTCCTGCGTCGCAACCAAGCCCTTGCCCTTGACGGCGTCGAAGTAGTGGCCCTCGACTCCAGGAGGGAAGTTGAGCGAGGGATCGATGTACGAGCGGGGGACATGCGACGGCTGCGCCTTGCGGGCAGGCTTCTTCTTCTTCTTGGTAGCCGACGAGGCGGCTGCGGGATCCGCTTCCCCGTTGGCCCCGTTGGAGGCTGGCGGAGCAGCGGGGGCGTGTCGCAGGCCGTGCCGCGTGAGAATGGTCTTGAGGCGCTTTTCACTCAGCTGCCAGTCGTTCTCGAGCTGCAAGATGGTGAGCAGCTTTGCGGTGCCGAGCTCTTCCGTTGCGGCGGTCGAGGAGGTCGAGGACGAGGAGGCGGGGTCGGCAGCCGCCGCCGAGTGTGCATCAAGCAGCCTCTTGGCGGCTGAGGCCACCTGTTCTTCTGTAGGTACGGCCGACATGTGGACTGGAGCAGTGGCAGCGCAGGGCTCGATGGAGGTGGTGACGGGGTGCAGAGACTGCGAGGAAGTGAAAGGTGGAGAGGGTGGCTTCCTGGCCCTGTCGTGTGCAAGCACCTTCTTCTCAAGCTGCAGCCGCCGCCAACCCGTCTCCCAAAAAATTTGAGCGCTGCCCGGGATCCGCATCCTCTAGGTGGCTGGCCGTGTCATTGCGCATCGCAGGCGCATCGTACTCTATCTGTTTCCAGCTGTCTCGCGCATCCCATCCTCGCTTCGGTTTGCCTGCTAGCACGGCGGCGGCTGACAACAGAACGAAAACAGTCGGACCTTCGAGGGCAGGAAGGACGGATCACGGCATCTGATTGACTCGATACAGGGTACGTTTCGGCAGCCCGAGGCGTGGCAGCGTTGGGCGTTTTGGGTGGCGTGCGGCGTACGTCGAGACGGCCGAGCCCCGTCGATTTGGAGAGAAGCCCATCTCTCGGCGCTATCAAGGATATATGGTCAAGGGTCGAGACCTCGGAGGATGCAGGCTGGAAATGTGCAGCTCAGGCTTGCCCCGGAGGCGAGCTCCAGCCGCTTCCGTTGGCGTTGGCCGCCTGAAGAGTCGACAAGGGGGCGCAGAGTCGGAAGGGCCACGGGAAGCAAGAAGAGGGGGGGAGACGACGGACCGCGACCGAACAGAGGAAGAGCTCGTCCCGTGGTCAGTCCGAGTCGCCTTCCTTCCTTCGACCTCCTTCCTCGCCCGTCGCTGCGGCATCCTGGCGCAGCTGCGAGATTCTCCCACGACTCCGACCAGGTCTGAGCCCCCCTGTTCCCATCGTATGCATCCCCTCCCCCTTCCGCCATGCCTACTTGCAGCATCTAACTCGATCAGTCACTTACCGCCGGAGCAGCGTCGTCCTCTGTTGCCGCCGCCGCCGCGTCCTTCGCGGGCTCCGCGCTAGCGTCCTTTCCGGGGGCGTCGGCGGCATCGGCCGACCTCTCGCGGCCGTTTGCGTGCTCGGCTTCTCCGGCACCATTCTCTCCTCCGTAGCTCCTCTCGCGCGGCCTGTCTTCATCGATTGGGTCGCGGCCGCGGTCGTCCTCGTCGTACCTCCTCCTCCTCTCGTCATCGACATCGTCGCGGCGGCTCGAGCTGCGACGAGTGTCGGGGTAGTCGCTGTCGTCGCGGCGGCGGACAGGCGACCGGCTGCGTTCACGCTCTCGCGCGGCGGCACGGGCACGCGCGCGCTCCTCGGCAGCTCGATCGGCCTCCTCTTGCTCTGCAGGGGTGAGCTCGGGGCGGACAGCAGCGATCGGAGGCGTCGAGCGCGCAGGCGGGGGGGCTCCTGCGAAGGGCGGCGGCGGCGGCGGTCCACGGCGCGAGGGGCCGTCGAACCTCCAGTTGCTGGAGGGAGCGTTCTTGGCAAACTGGATCTGGAGCGTGTGGCGGCCGAAGCGCATGCCGTGCATGTCGTGGTGAGCGGCCTGCACGCGAGGGATGTTGAGACCAAGAGAAAGGAGAGCGTGTCCGATCGATGATCGTCCGGAGGCGAGGGCGTCAGTCTGGGGCCGTTACGGTTGCGGGCTTGACCGAGTGCGCAGGTCGAGGGTAGGCCTTGCTGGCAAGGGACAAGGTGAGCGTTGCTCGATCATCTCACCTCGGCGTCTCGGGGGTCCTCGTACTCGATAAAGGCGTACGGCGAGGCAGTGGGCGATCGGAGCGCGGGGATGTCGCAGCGGACCAGTCGACCCATGCGCTCAAACTCGTAGGCCAGGTCTCGTGCCCTCATGGTCGGCGGGAAGCCTGCAAAGTCGCCAGGAGAATGCGTGGCACGGACGGGCGAAAGTCAATGTGAGCCATCTGCTGCGGCAAAGGTGCTGACGAGGAGGTGCACAGACGCGACGTGAGGCATCGAGACACGTACCTGCCACAAAGAGGGTGGTCCTAGGAGCTGGTCGGCGGTGAGACATTGTGGTATTCGCGTCTGTGTGTGGTGAAGCGAGGTGTTGTGCGAGTTGATGGGGGTGGTGGTGGTGATGGTGATGATGGTGAGGGTGGAAGCAGCGTGGCCTGCCAGCTTTGTGGGGCGCCCACCAGGTGATGAAGCGGATTTTGGCGTCTGGCGTCTGGCGTGGCGGGCGTCTGGCCAGGCTGGCACCTCGCCCGGTCTGGCAGCTGGTAGCTGGGCAGGTGAGGGCAGCCCAGGCCGGTCAGGCGGACCAGGGCCATGCAGGCGCCGCCCTGCCTGCCTGCCTGCTTCGACGCAGACGGGCGCACGAAAGCCTGCGAGCGAGAAGAATCCCTCAACTCGCCGATTTTTTCCATGGCCGCAACCCGCTGCTGCCTGGTGCCTGGCAGCCCGGCAACAAGGCGGGCCAGACGCCGACCGTGTGGAGTCTGCAGGTGCGTGATCGGAAAGCGAGCTCCCGATTCACAGCGGTCCTTGGCCGCCCGATAGAGCGCATCAATCGCGGCAGTCGGGTGTCGCAGCTGTTCGCCGCCGCCGCCTCTTGGATTTTTGCTGCCTGGCCGTCGAAGAAACTTTTGGGCGGGCGGGCGAGCGGCGGGGGGTCAACCTTGCAACGCTCTGCCACCGCCGCTCCTGGACCACGCACCATTGCCGCTCCACTCCCACCACCCTCGAGTCGCTCCCGTCCCCAAACGACACGTCGCAGGCCAGCCGCTGACACCTCCTCCCACACACTTTAGGATCGACCGCTCGCCTCACTGCGTCCCATCACACTCGGACTTCGCTGCGATGGCCAAGTCTAAAAAGGCCGCCGCTGCTGCCGCCGCCGCGGCCGACGATGCCATGGACGTCGACGCCCCGTCCACGTCGTCCCTTCAGAACGACCCGGAGTCTGCCGCCATCATCGCCGCCTCGTCCTCGTCGGCGCCAGTCAACCAGCGCAGGCTGGTCGAGATCCTGCCGGAACGGGTCGGATCGGTCGCCTCGACCGACTTCCCTCTCCACCACCCCGGCGAGAACCACGTCTGGTCACACAACAAGTTCACAGAGAACCTCCGGCTCATCATCACCCGCCTCTCTGACGCGCAGGTCGAGTTCGACCTTATCGGCGTCGATGCCTCCATCGCTAACGCCATCCGCCGGGTGCTGATGGCCGAGGTGCCAACCGTGGCCATCGAGCATGTCTACGTCTGGAACAACACCAGCATCATTCAGGACGAGGTCCTCTCGCACAGGCTCGGTCTCGTCCCGCTCAAGATCGACCCCGACCGCATCGCCATGAGGATGCCCGGAGACGACGCCGACGACTCCAACACTGTCGTCTTCCACCTGAAAGCCAAGTGCGAGCGGAACCCGAGGGCGCCAAAAGGCGAGACGGATCCAGACAAGTGCTACATCGGTCACAATGGTAGGTTGCATCGTCGCGGGATCGGACTTGGCCTTGAAGGGCGACGGCGCGCGAAGCTGACCTTTCGGTTCGCACTGCTCTCCCTCCTTCGCGTACTTGCACGTGCAGTCTACTCGAGCCAGCTCACATGGGATCCCAAGGGCTCGCAAGAGGAGGACTTTGCAGACTGCCCGCCGCGCGCCGTACACGACCGGATCCTGCTGGCCAAGATGCGTCCCGGGCAGGAGCTCGACCTGGAGCTCCACTGCGAAAAGGGCATCGGCAAGGACCACGCCAAGTTCTCGCCCGTCGCGACGGCCACCTACCGCCTGCTGCCGCACATCCAGCTGCTCAAGCCGATCCCGTCGGACCTCGCCGAAAAGTTCGCCGGCTGCTTCCCTGAGGGCGTCGTCGGGCTGCGGGGTCCCAAGGGCAACCAGGAGGCGTTTGTGCAGGACGCGAGAAAGGACACGATGTCGAGAGAGGTGCTGCGGTACCCCGAGTTCGAAGGTTTTGTCAAGCTGGGGAGAGTCAGGGATCATTTCCTCTTTGACCTCGAGTCGTCTGGTGTCATCCCGCCAGAGAAGCTGCTGCCCGTCGCCATCCGGACGCTGCGGGAAAAGATCCGCGCAGTGCGCGAGTCACTCGACCTGCTTGAGAGCACCAGCGCGCCGGCGGCGACTCACTAGCCTACGCCCGTCCTGCGCCTTCGACGACTTTGGCCGTCGAGCAGCCACACTCTGTATTCCCCACTCTCCTTGCTTGCTCTCTCCCTCCGTTTCTCCGTCAGCATCCCCGATCTTCAAACACACGTGTACACTTACCCACCGGTCGTTAAACCAACGCCGATTCGACACTGCATCCATTCTCTCAGCAGCCCTGGTCCGATGGTCGCTGGGGGCTGCATGTCCGCAGAACGGCCCGCTTGCAGGTCGTAAGAACGCCGGACCCGGCTCGAAGAGAGAGAGAGAGAGAGAGCGATGGGTGCCGCTGAGGTGCTCTACATCACCGGGAGATCGCCAGAGCTGGGCACGTCTGATCTGTACCCGCCCAGTTGCAGCGGCTAGGGCAGGCTTCTCGTCAGGATGTCGCAGGATGATCGTCGGCTCCATAGGTGTAAGCGTAGAATGGGATGGCACCGGGAGAAGCTGTCACGTACCGACGTTCTCTGGCGTGGCGTGCTTCGGTTTGCCTGCCTGGCCCGCGCGTCCATTGAAAGCACAGCGATGACCTCGTTTTGCCTGCCCGTCGTCCTCCTCCCGAACCACGACTCAAGCAAGGGTCCACGTCAAGGATGAAAAGCTCCGAAGCCTATCGCAGGCTGAGAAGGTGGAAGCCAGCAGCGCTGCCGATGCCTGCTTGCCGATGTCGACAACTGAGGTAGCGCCGGTACGCCCTTCTGACGACCAGAGGGGCCAAGGAGAGGCTCGAGCAAGAGGATGCACTGCTCTGACTCTGGCCAGCTTGTCGAACGAAGACATGCCTTTGACCTACAACGGAATTGCCGGAAGAGAGGGCCTGACTTTCTGCCGCGTCGTGGGTAGTTACCGGTACATCTGCACGGCGTGGCGGGCGGGCCGAGGAACCTGACGGTGCGGAATCGGGCAAGGGGAGACATGGCAAGAAGAAGCACAAGCGTGATTCGCAAAGTCGACGAGGGGTGGCGGAAGGTCGAAGCAAGCCGACGGGGAACCATGTCGACTTCGGCATGGCTGGCCAGAGGCATGGTACGCCGATGCAGCCTCGAAAGAGACGGCGACGACGGCCTTCGCCATGCAGAATCGATCGGCCTTGACCGAGACCCCCAGCAGCCGCAGGCTAAGCGGCGAGAAGGCTGCTGGCTGATTACGTTGAAATCGGGCCAACGCCGTTGGCTGCTTCTCTGGACCCGGGGAACGGGCGCGGCGCACTCTGCCTGGGCGCCCTTCCCTGACTTTCTTCTCGAAGATGGCAAGAAGGCGGGCGTGGACCGGCGTACCGCTTTGAAAGCCGGATCGGCAACCGAACGCAGACGGGCGGCCCAACTGCCTGGCCGCTGTCCTTGCTTGCTCGCTCTACCTTGCTTTCCCCCAGCGCTCTCGTCATCCGCCTTTGCGTCTGTGAGTCTTGCCGCTTGCCCGCCCGCCCGCTGGTCTGTGTATGTGCTATCCTCCCCTGGCCGCTCGCCCGCTGGCCGCCGCCTTCGCCTTTTTTCGGGCCTCGGTGGCTGACGGGACCGCCGCCAGCTGCTTGTTTTTGGTGCTGGCGCAACTTACCTCTTCTCCTTTCTTTCTGACCACCACCTCTACCCTCACCCACACCACATCAACCTCTTTTGCACTCTCCCACCGACAGTCGCACAAGATGGCTTCCTTCCGCACCTCGATGAGGGCTGCCCAGCCCCTGCGTGCCAACCTCCGCGCCGCCAACCACTTCGCCGCCC